TTTTTCATGTACGTCTAAAATAATAATATAATGTGTCAGTTTTTTTTTGTTCTCTGATTGTGACTTGATAGAAAGAAAAATACATACTTATTATTATGAATGAGATAAATGAAATTGATGTCAAAAATAAGAATCGAATATTATTGTATATTAAATAGAGCTATAATTAAGTAATAAGAAAGAGAGTACAGATATATTAACGAAAAGAATGAATAGAAAGAAAAACAAATTGCATATACGAGCCGAAATAGAAAGCTGGCTCTTTTCTAATGCTTTTGTATTATTCATCATTTATTTTAGTTTTTTTTTCTACATCAATAAGCAACAATAACGAACGAGTGCATATTATGTGTATTGTACGTAAATAAAAATGACAAAATAAGATATTCTTTCTCAATCTTTGTTCAATATTTTTCGATTAAAATAAAAACTCAATAATTAATTTCATCTTTTTAAGGTTTCGGCTTGTTTCTATTACAATCGTAATGTAACAATTTTGAAAAAAAAATATCGAAGAGGAGAATATATTAATATTAGTCAACATACAAAAAAATAGATAAAACATTTGAGGCATCTTCGAAATCGTAGAATCAGTATTAACTATGATTGAATTTACATGGTTTCCTTTATTCTAAATTTAAAAATATAATTACTAATCAGTAAATCTGTTGGGATTCTTATTAATTAACAAGGTTTCATAAATATAACCTTTTAAATTTATTCAATATTTTAGCCGGATATTTGTCCATGTTCCGACTCAATAGATATTTGTTTATGCTGTATTCCACTTAATTTACTTTGTTGTTGTCTACCTTGTAGCCGTCCACCTCGGTAAAAAAAAAGAAGAAACTCATTTTTTTTCTCTATTTAATAAAAAATATTCATTATTTCCTTTTCAGTGATCGAATTATTTACGTTCCTGCAGCTCAACCAATGTATCCAACTCATGGTCATGGTTATATCATACGTGAACCTATGTCACGTTATTAAATTTATTATGTATATATAGAAACAAAGTTTTAATTAAAATAAAAATCTTGAAATTTTTCTATTAATAATAAAATTCAATAATCATTTCTATTATGATGAATTTCTCTGAAGAACAAAAAAAAAGAAGAAGAAATAAAATTGATTAATGGCATAAAAATTGATTCTACTACAAAACTATAATCAGCAAGAGTAATATTATCGTTGAAAATGTCATCTAAAATAATCTATTATGAAATATAAATGTTTCCGATATGTTATGACGAATTTTTAATGAAAAGATCTGAATATACAGAAAGATGATTAGGAATTCTCAAAGGATTTTTATTAGAGAATACAAAAGAACTACTTACACCCCTTTTTTTTTTAATACAATTTTTTTTCTGCTTTTGTATCAGTCAGTCAGTCTAGATGGTAGTAGTTAGGTTTTTTTGAGACCATCAATTATATCATTTGAATTATATTTAATAAGAAGTTTTTTTCTTTTACTACGACAATTGTTACAAATAATTTCAATCATTTTATTTTTGACACATAGGAGGGGAAAAAAAATAAATTCTTTTCTTTTTTTCGAGAGAAAGTTTTCTATTGGTAAAGAACAACAAACCAATGAAAAAGATTTCAGTCTTCTTTTTATGGATTTGAAACACAATCTACTAAAAACATCTGTATTATTCGACTAGTAAGAAACAATTCTGCTAAATATTTAACTTTCGTTTTTTCATTTTCAAACAAATTATAATATGATATTATTTAATGATTATTTAGCTCGTGACTGTGCATTCGTGTGTATCCCAAGCGGCCATTCCATTCTTTCTTTTCCTTCCTATCTCTGACTGGTTAGGAATCATCTTGCGTTTAGTTGCTTACTCGTTCTTTAGCTGTTACTACTTTTCTACAACTGCTGTTTTTTCTTCTTCTTCTTCATCTTTCTCTTCTTCTTCTTCTTCTTCTCTTCTTCTTCTTCTTCTTCGTCTTTTCTTCGCTCGGTCTGTCTTCTCTCCACCTGAATCGACATCGGGGTCTGCTACTGCGTGTGTCGTCGACCAGAAATAAGCTTCTTCTATAACTGCTACTGCTGCCGCTTTTACTATTGCGACAAACAACGAGAGTCTTGTTCGTTTTGTCGCGTTTATGCAACTTATATCACTAACATACTCATGCTGATCTAATATATTTCTAACTTTACAACGATGATGACCCAACGTCCACCTCCATTTATTTATTCAATTTTATATAGCCGATCAAAATCAAGTTTTATTGTATTAACTGTATGAAATATAATAGTACTCTATTCAACAAATTTCTCAATACTATTAATAATAATACAAACAATAACGACAACAGCACTACTAAGAAGGATAATAATATAAAGGTGTCGCCTCCTTCAACTACTCCTATTATCAATATGGCCTCTGTTACAAATAATATACCAATATCAAATGCACTTGTCACATCTACTCGTTTTACTGATGAATATGATCTTAAAGAAGAACTTGGCAAGTAAGTCATTATATATATATATGCATTATCTTTCAATTTTGTTTTTTCGTATCTTTTTTACGTCCCATTCCCCATCTATTTAATTCATAAAGTTAATAAATGTAAAAAAAATATTGACAGTCTCTTCTCACGAGTCCAGTCCTAAATTGCAATCAACCCTTTTGTCACCGTAGTTGCTACACTGGTGAACCTTCATAGAATGCCGCTACTCTCTCCCTCCTGATTAATCGCGTTTGCATGTCGTGAATATTATTTTTCTCCCGTTCTCTTCATCATCATCTTCATCGTCGTCGTCGACGTTCTCATTTCTCCCTCCCCTTTCTCATTCGTATTCTGACCTCATCTTTTACTACTAACACTAGTGACTGACTACGATGAAAAAAAACAGATCACTGTTATATGTTGTCGTTCAAGACTAAGACTAAACGTATATTATCATAATTGAGGCAACGACAAGATCATGAAGAAGAAGAAGAAGAAGAAGAAAAAAAGTCATTATCATCAGGCCGGCAGTAGGCTTGGTAGAACAGCTTCAATCAATTGTTTGAATACACATTTCTTTTTTTTGTTGTTGACTAACTGTTCATCCATGGAGGAGTGTTAACAAGAACAAAAAGAACGCGTTGGTGTTTTAGCCTATGGCAAGGAAAAATATCGAAGAAAAAAAAAAAAGAAAACTTGTTCCGAATGAAATAAGAGCGTGTATGAAACAAAAAAAATTCATTAATAATGGATTATAATCAATTCTATGCTATTAAGAAAAAAATATGTATATATATTCATTTTATTTTTTAGAGGTGCATTTTCAATTGTAAGACGATGTATACAAAAAAGTTCCGCACAAGAATTTGCTGCAAAAATTATTAATACAAAAAAATTATCTACCCGAGGTTAGAGAAGTTAGGATAAACAATATAAAACTTTCTAAATTTAATTATATATGTAGATCATCAAAAACTCGATAGAGAAGCTCGTATTTGTCGACAATTAAAACATCCTAATATTGGTAAATTGTTCTGATTAATAATTATAAAAATCTACATATTATTGATTTAGTTCGTCTTCATGATAGTATTTCGGAAGAAGGTTTTCATTACTTAGTATTCGATTTGTAAGTTTTTATTATAATATTAAAAAAATTCATAATAGTAATGATAATTTTTAATTATTTTAGAGTCACCGGTGGTGAATTATTTGAAGATATTGTTGCACGAGAATTTTATAGTGAAGCAGATGCTAGGTATGAATTTATTGATCTAATGAATAATTTTTATCATTTATTATTCTTAGTCATTGTATTCAACAAATACTTGAAGCTGTCCGACATTGTCATGAAAGTAATATTGTACATAGAGATTTAAAAGTAAGACAGAAAACAATTCGTTTTTTCGATTTTAGTCTATATTTTCGTTATTTTTTGTAGCCTGAAAATCTTTTATTGGCTAGTAAAACAAAAGGAGCAGCTGTCAGTAAGTATTAATGTCAAAAGAGAAAAAAGAAGAAAACTTCATTTCAAGATTTTTGAAGGTCATCAATTTTCCTCTCATTTAATAAGAGGAAAACTGATGTAGATTATTTCCGTAACAGGAAATGAACGGAACCTTTTTTTTCTTTCTTTTATTTCCAATGCGAAAAGTAATTTGATCTGGAAATATACTTGTTTTTTCTTTTTTAAGAACTTGCTGACTTTGGTTTGGCTATTGAAGTCAATGGTGAACAAACACAGTGGTATGGTATGTATAATAAAATAATATTTGATTGATTATACATAATCATTCGATTAAATTAATGAATAGGCTTTGCTGGTACTCCAGGTTATCTTAGTCCTGAAGTTCTTAAAAAAGAACCCTATGGAAAACCAGTTGATATATGGGCATGCGGTATGATTCTATATATATATATTAAAAATATGAAAATTTATTATTGTTTAATATATTTAGGTGTTATTCTATACATTCTTCTTGTTGGTTATCCACCATTTTGGGATGAAGATCAACATCGTTTATATAATCAAATAAAAGCTGGCGCTTATGATGTAAATATTAGATAAAATAAATTTCGATAAATATCTTTTTAATTGAATATATGTGTATTATTTAGTATCCATCACCTGAATGGGATACAGTCACGACTGAAGCAAAACGTTTAATTGATTCAATGTTAAATATTAATCCTAGTAGACGTATTAGTGCTACAGATGCTCTTAAACATCCATGGATTTGTGTAAGTTGGTTAAATAGAAAAATCATTCGAACGATTTGTCATATTTCCTTTAATACGGATATTTATTTATGGCCTATTTATCGATTTTATTTGCTCAATAAATGAGAATGAGTTAGGAAATAAAGAGAAAAAAAAATGTTTGATGATGTGAGGATGTTAGTCGAAACGATTATTTTATAGCATAAGAAGACAAAAGTGTTCGAATAGAATGCAATGGTGCGCCTCATTTTCCCTTTTTTTTTCTCCTATTCTGTTTTTTACTATAGGAAGAGAAAAGGAAGAAAACAAGGAAAATAAATCAGAGTCATTATTTCTAGAAGGGACAAAAAAGGAGAAGAAGGAGAAGAAAAAAAGAAGATTCAAGCATTCTTATACTTGATTCGATTAAAACATCCGAGAGAAACAACAGAAAAGCATCAAATAAACTCAAAAATTTTCTATATATTTCTATTTTTTAGCAACGAGAACGCGTTGCTGGTACAATTCATCGGCAAGAAACCGTCGACTGCTTACGTAAATTTAATGCACGACGAAAATTAAAGGTAAATAACCTTGATATATCATTCTAAACGTGTCCACTAATAAAGAAAGAACAAGTAAAAAAACATTGTACATCATAATTTACCTACTTTTTTTTCGAGTAACTTACCATGTTTTTCGCTCTATTTTGTTTAACTTGTATCATTGTAAGCTATTTACAAAATTCTTTTCAAAACAATTAATTTTTATTTAAAGGGAGCCATTTTATCAACAATGTTTGTCAATCGTACATTGATACCTAGTAAGTTCATAATGAATGTATGATATCTTTGCATGTATGATTCATATACCTGCCTGTTCTTAAAATGCTTTGAATCTTGTTGTTATATGTTATATATTTTTATTTTTTTTTTATTCAAAATGCGAATTCCATGCATATTTAATGTTCTTTTTTTTTACATAACTTCGCAATAGTTTAACATAATGTCTTATTTTTGTTAATTTGTTTTTTTCTTTTCTCGTTAAATATCTCTGTACTTTATTTAGAAGCAGATGCGAGCTCAAATTGAAATCTAAACACATTTATCTCCAAAGAATACATTATGACATTAATTAATTCCTAAAATTGACAGTCTTTTACTTTCCTTTTTAAAAAAAATATTTTTTTCTCAAACTAAATAATGAGCTTCTTCTTCTTCTTTTAATAACTGAGGAAATTATATATAAATATATATATATATATCTTTTTATGTTTTATTCCCTCCCTGTTGCATGAAATACATCTTGCTTATTCTCAT